TTACGCATGTACAACAGATGTATCTTAATTATGTATTAAAACATATGGACAAAGAAGTAAACACATTAATATTTACCCATTCATGTACATACATACATTCATGTACATACATACATACATACATACATACATACATACATACATACATACATACATACATACATACATACATACATACATACATACATACATACATACATACATACATACATACATACATACATACATACATACATATATACATACATACATACATACATACATACATACTACATACATACATACATACATACATACATACATACATACATACATACATACATACATACATACATACATACATACATACATACATACATACATACATACATACATACATACATACATACATACATACATACATACATACATACATACATACATACATACATACATACATACATACATACATACATACATACATACATACATACAAACATACATACATACATATATAGAACTAAGTTTTGCCGATTTTTGTAGAGATACTACAATATTTAACATAATTATGAACTCAAGAGCCCTTTTCGGGGGGTAGGGTTGTATGGGGGCTAGATGACTCAGAAAGATTCTGAGTCGATCGGTATAATTTAAGGTGGGTGTAGGACCAATATTTTTGTGTGTTACAAACATCAGCACAAACGTATAATACCTTTCCCACACATAATTAACGCTTTTTGCCTGTTTAGTTTTAATTCCCTACTATTTAAGATCTTATGTTCATAGAATATTTTATACAGAAAATACAGAATTCCCTTTTTTACCTGTTTTCCAATCTAAGGGCGGGCTTTTGAAATAAACACATTTCTGAGGCTATAAAAATCATAATCTATAATATTTTGACTTCAAAACAAAAAAATCACTCTTAAAAAAATTGCCCCTTTTTTTCGTTGCCCTATTTTTTGTCCCTTTTTGGTCAAATTTTCGCAACGGCACTTTACCAAAACATATTTCTGACACTTTAGAGAGATTTATCGAAAATATTTATGCTTAAATATAAAAAATAATCAGTTTTTTCGCTCAAAAGAACTACTTTTGCACGTTTTTTTATCCATTTTATACCCTTTTTGTCCCCTTCTAGTCCGTCCAATTTTTTAAAAATAGAATAGCCTATTTTTTTTATATACATATATCCCACTCGCATCCCATAATGGGACTATAAAGCCCTTCAAAGAAATTGTATAAGCTTTCTTTTAAGCAAAAAAAGGCCCATTTTGAAATCTATCAAAAATAAAATATTTTTTAACTCAACAATTGCTGTGTTTTTTCGAAATTTTATCTATAAAATTTAATATGAATTATTTGACAGCATTCCAATTTTTGCTAAGTTTGGACATAAACTAATTAAAAGAAGTTAGAATGCTATATTTGGCTCTGCCGAATCTTAAATACCCTCCACCTGCAAACTACTTTTTATTAAAACCCAATATAAATATGTTATAAATGGTTAAAGTTATAGGGCCGAATTTATAATTTATACCAAAGAAATAAATTTTACTTAAGTATTAAAATACATATTAAGTACTAAAGTACTTTATTTCCCTTATGGAGAACCAAGTCCATAGTTTTGATTCCTGTTTATAAATTGTCAATATGTACAAAATTTTGTGTTGATACCGATATATTTGAGGAAGTTATTAACGATAAATTAATTTCCGGGAATATGTACCTTTGTATGGGGGCTATTGGAAATTTTGTATTATGTATAATTTTAAACATAATTAATCTATAGATGGAAAAAATAATCTGTGACAAAATTTGTCGAATTATCTTTGGTAGTTTCTGAGAAAACTACTCAAGAATTAGGGAAAAAAACTTAATTTTTTTTAGGTAGTCTGAAATGTTTACTCATAACTTTTTACATTGTGAACCGATTTTGCTGATTTTCAACACCAAACGATTTAGCTATGTCCGTCTGCCTGGTTAAAACACGCTCACGGTAAAACTAAGCAAATGACATCAACCAAATTCACTGAGAATATTCATTGTTTTCCTAAGCAGTTTGGGATTGAAAATCAGCAAAATCGGTTCACAACGTAAAAAATTATGAGAAAAAATTTCAGACTACCTAAAAAAAATATATATATATATATATATATATATATATATATATATATATATATATATATATATATATATATATATATATATATATATATATATATATATATATATATATATATATATATATATCCATATATAGGGAATTTTTTCAGAATCGGTCCATAACTAGCTCCCATATAAGGTTCGCTTCTGAAAACCACTTAGTGCAACATAATTTATTATTAAACTGGACATGAGTATGTTCTGTGTATAGATAAATCATTTTGATTATTTTTTTTTTCGAATTGGTCCATTATTGGTCATATTTCCCATATAAATTATCGGCAGCATCGGCCTAATCAAAATTAGTTACATACATACATGCATTAAGAAGTTACAAAATGATAAATAGTATCTTAATTAAGGAAACAAATCATATGCCGGGTTTTACAGTTCTCCATAAGGGAAATAAAGTACTTTGGTACTTAGTATGTATTTCAATACTTAAGTAAAATTTTTTTCTTTGGTATAAATTATAAATTCGGCCCTATAACTTTAACCATTTATAACATATTTATATTGGGTTTTAATAAAAAGTAGTTTGCAGGTGGAGGGTATTTAAAAATTCGGCAGAGCCGAATTTAATTACTAATTTTTTAATGTACCATATTTTATGTATTTTATATTTCTTTTAAATTTTATAATGTTGTCTACGATAAAATTTTTAGATATTATTTATTTTTCTCAATAATTTGTTAAACACTTTATTTAATCCGATCTAGTACAGATAAACCATACATAAACTGATATAAAAATGGCAATACCAAAATATTTTTAATAGTAAACGTATTTTGCTTATATCTTACATGGGTAAACATATAAAAACCTACTATTTAATGGTTGTTTGATAGTTTAAATAGTTCTAAATAATATATGTAATATGTTTACATAGTTATCATTATTTATTTGTTGTAAAAATAATTATTTTTCAGAGAATCATTCTCAAATTTATAATTGTCATAAATATATAAGTAATTACAGTAACTAAAATATTGATGAAATTCAATAAAAATAACAAGTGTTTGGTTATGACAACAAAATATTGTTACAAAAAAACATAGAATAGTTGTCCTAACAATGCCGAAACATGTTTTTTCTCTGCGTGTACTTAGTGGGGTGCGAGAGGAATATATACATATATAAAAAGTAAAAATGAATGAATTAAGAATAGCTATCTGAACTCCTTTGGACAATTTTTGCTAGGACCAATAGGTGAAAAGTTACCCTGTATAACCAAAATGTCCTATCCCATCTGACTCCAGCAGTTCTTGATCGATAGAGCTGAAAGTTTGCGTCTGGCCTATTAGCCCATAGTACTAACCTTGGTGCAAATTGTATCCAAATCTGAAGACATCGATTTTTAAAGTTGGGTCACTTGACACGAAATTCCCCATATATATAATCTTCTGTAATAATAATTTGTCAATATTTAACTAATTGATTAATAATGAAAATTTTCTTTTATCACCAAAAAAATCATGGTTTTTATGCGCCAACCTAATGAACATGTATGTATATAAATGCAGATATTAATATGCATATTATGCGACCAACCATTTAATTTTTTTCTGTGAAAACTCTAAATCGAATCCGAAGCACGTACTAACTCTTAACGATTATATATAAAATTTATGTTTTCTGCTTATTTATTCTCTTTTTAAAAAGTTTATTAACCCGTTTGTAACACAATTGGTTTTTATTTTTTCATAATACTTATTTCAAATGTTTCCTACTATCGCTGTCAAACGCAAATGTTCTGTTAATTATTCGCAAGTTCCTAATAAAAACCAAGCTTGAATTATCATTTCTGTATTATACAAACTAATAATTATTAAGAAAACCATGACGCAGTTAGCTTGTCATTCATTTTAGTTTTTATAGTCTAATGTAGCAGATTCAGATGATACACATGTAGTTTCCTTTACTACTTTTTTATTCGTTGTTTTTTAAGAAAAATATTAATATATTTTTTATGAGTTTCTGTTTTAAATGAAATTTTAACAACCAATAATCATTGCTTGTATATTTCATTTAAACTCTTTATTGTTTTAGGAATAACAATTCAATTTGAATTCGAAATATGTATGGCATCTTTGAAGTTTTGAGATTAATATTAGCTACCACATTTGTATGTTATATTTACATTCGAATCCAAATTGAGTAAGAAGTCGTTTTCAAAAATCGTGTATGTCATAACGGTGTCTTATTTTTTTAACTGTACTGTTTCAAATACCTAGTTTTTTTCGTTTTTTGGCATTGTAACTTGTATTTAAATATTTAAGAAGTATACATTATCCATTTGTATTTACTTTTTCTATATTATAATATGTATGTACCTTTTTATACCCTTCACCTTCGTGCGAAGGGTATATATAAGTTTGTAATTTTCCGACCCTGTATAGTATATATATTCTGGATCCTTATAGGTTGATTAAGCCATGTCCGTCTGTGTGTCTGTTGAAACAAATTTTATGAAGACCCCAGATATCTTCGAGATTCAAATTTAAAAAAATTCTGTCAATCATGACTTCGAGAAGTTTCCTATTTAAAATCAGCAAAATCCGTCCATAAATAACGCAGATATTGTTGTTTTCTTGTTTCGTCATTGCTAAAATAGTGGTAAAGTCGGGAAAAATTTTATAAAATTTAACTTTTTTATATAGACTATGGTGAAGGGTATATAAGATTCGACAATGGTAAATAAAAACTCTCATTTGTTTTAATTGCTACTTATTATAATTATTGTTGTAGTAGATTTTTATAACTTTATATTACTTATAAGGCTCAGTTATAATAAATGAAGAAATAATATACTTAAACAATAATATACCTAAATATCGAAATATTTTCTATTTTAGATATTCAGATTTACAATATTTGGCATCTCGAAGAGCAGCAGCCGTTGCTGCTGCAACTGTATTACCACCACCAACCCAACAAGCTACATTAAATGGTACTAATAGTGGAAATGGTATAGACTGTGTGTCAGCAATTGGGACAAATGGAACACATACCTCAGAAAATGATAGTAATGCACCGCCTGTACAAAATGCCAATAGTCAGAGTCCTATGATGACCGCACATAATACACATCTTGGTCATGCGGTACATCACCATGCCAATCATGCTGGTTTACATGCACCACCACCTCCACCACATCCTGTTGCTTCTCAAGCCCATGAATTCCATCCAGCCTATCGAATTCCAGGTTATATTGAGCATTTATATTCTTTGCAGCGTGTAAGTCCCACTTCTTCGTTTCACGGTTAGTATTTAAAAATTATGGTAAACCTTGAAAGAGATTTTCAGAGAAATATATAAAAAAATAAATATACTTAAAATACAATTGAAAAATTTTAATTTTCAGATCCTTACTCCAATTGTGCCACAGCGTTTCACTTAACTGGCTTGGGACTTAATTCTGGAGATTATTTGGGTGCTCGAGGCGTTGGTTCCTTAGGTGAATTGCATCCTGCAGCAGCAGCTGCTGCGGCAGCTAATTCCCTAGCTAGCACTGATTTTCACTTTAGTATTGACAATGCCAGACTCAGTTCGTCACGTACGGGCAGTATAAGAGCAAGCATTAGCCGCAAAAGGGCTCTTTCATCCTCTCCCTATTCAGATTCATTCGATATTAATTCAATGATTCGTTTTTCACCCAATTCCTTGGCCACCATAATGAATGGTTCGCGTGCTAGTAGCGCTGCTAGCGGCTCTTATGGTCATTTATCAGCTGGCGCCATGAGCCCAATGCATAGTGCTATGTCACCGCATATACAACAATTGCAAGCCCATTTGCTCAGAGCTAGTGCTGGACTTCTGCACCCACTTCCTACACACCAAGCAGCAGCTGCTAACATGATCTCCATGGGTCATGTACATACTTTGCAATCAGCTGTTGCTGCTGCAGCTGCTTATAATGCGGCAACCGCCGCCAACGGAAACCCTAGCAATGTCAGTGCCAACAATTCTCCTTTCCATCCCCCGTTGAATGGACACACAAATACCCATGCCGCTAGCGTAAATAGCAATCAAAACAATATGATTAATAGTACCACTAAACAAATGGTAAATAGCCCGAATTTTATCTTGTAATGAGATTGATTAATTTTTCTTATTACTATATAGCATTATGAAGAAGTATGTACGGAACGTTCTAAGGGTGAACAGCCCTCTTCCACCTCGCATAACGATATCACTCAACAGGAAGCGGATAGTGCTTCTGCTAATTCGGCAACTGCTCGAAGACAGCAGCGTCCTAATAAAATCACTACATCTAGTAATTCTGCTACGCCAACTACTACCTCTACGAAAACGCAACACCACCACAGCAACAATAATCATGTGCAATGTGGACCACCCACTACTACTACGCCACACAGCGATTATGACTGTGCCACCGTGGATACGACTGACATAAAAGATGAACCAGGAGATTTCATCGAGACCAATTGTCACTGGCAAGATTGTGGTATTGAATTTATGACGCAGGACGAGTTAGTAAAGCACATAAATAACGATCACATACAAAGCAACAAAAAGGCATTCGTCTGCCGTTGGGAAGATTGTTCACGCGGTGAAAAACCATTTAAAGCTCAGTACATGCTTGTGGTACATATGCGTCGTCATACAGGAGAAAAACCACATAAATGCACGGTAGGTAAAAAACAACGTACATGCAGGTACTCAAATTTAGTAGATTACAAGTCGCAGTCCCTGTAATATGAATGAACCACAATGACAACATGTATTTATTGTATTATTCTCCTTTTGATTTATTACAGTTCGAAGGATGTTGCAAAGCGTATTCTCGGTTGGAAAATTTAAAAACCCATTTGCGTTCGCACACCGGTGAAAAGCCGTACACTTGCGAATATCCAGGATGTAGTAAGGCTTTTAGCAATGCTAGCGATAGAGCTAAACATCAGAATCGCACACACAGCAATGAGGTAAATTGGCTAACATTAATTCCTCCTAGTTTGTTTACATTTAGTTCATAAATATGATTGTTTTTACTTGCAGAAGCCATACGTTTGCAAAGCGCCTGGATGTATTAAACGTTACACTGATCCTAGTTCTCTCAGAAAACATGTAAAGACCGTACATGGTGCCGAATTCTATGCCAACAAGAAACACAAGGGCTCTATTCATGACAACGATAATTCCGGAGGCGCTGGTAATGGTGTGGGTAAAGTAGACTCTCCTGATGAATATCGTTCGAATAAAGCAACTAGCTTATCAAGTCCCAGCATTAAGTCTGAATCAGAAGCGAATTCACCACCACAGTTATCAGTACATAGTCCGACCATTTCGCAAACCGCAGGCAACCAGGCAGCTCATAATCAAATGCAGTTCAAACCTGGTAGTGGTATTCGCATGGGGCCAGGAAGTGAGATGGGTGATGTTATGGGAACGTATAGTAATCACGATGATTATGGAAACATGCCAGCAAACGACGATGAATCATGGCTTTATGATGATGATGTAGATGCTGCAGATTTGCCCATAGTTCTAAGGGCTATGGTCAGTATTAGCAATAGCCCCAATAATAGCATGGTGACAAGTGGTGGTGGATCATCCACGATATCTGCGGGAACTATGCGTCAGCGTTTTCGATCGCGCTTACAAGCCAAAGGTATTAATCTTAATGCGCCTGCTTTATCTAATATACCCGAAATCAATCGCAATATTGGTATTGGTGACCTAAATCAGCGCATTACGGAATTAAAAATGGAACCAGGCACGGTTAGACTACCCCCAGCAAAACATACCGACACGAAGAATCCTTCATCGACTAACTTGACCGATTTGCAAACACGCTTATACTCTAACACAAACACTATGATCAGCAATTATGGTGGTTCAATAATGCAAGCTAATTTGCGACGAGATAGTCAGAATTCAAATGCTAGCACATATTATTGTAGTATGCAGAGTAGACGTAGTAGTCAATGTTCCCAATTGTCGTCAATTTCGACGATGCGTCCATGCTCGTACAATGCTGGATCATTGTACGATCCAATTTCACCCGGATGTTCCCGCCGCTCAAGCCAAATGTCCAACGTAACGGGAGGAGTATGTTCCCCTGTTGCAGCGCTTGGTAATGGAACCAATAGAATTAGTGCAAATTCAATTTGTGGTGGCAATAACTCATGCTTGGGAAGTGCGTTTAACACAACAAATAACCCAAGTCTGCCCCCACCTCCATCTTCACATTTAATTTCCACACATTTGCAGCGTTTACAGACATCTTCTTCGTCTTCGGCTTGTTTAAAGCATCCTCACGAAAGTGGACGTTTTTCGATTCCAAACGTTCTAGCCATGACGCAAATCGGAAGCCATATACCGCAACAAAATAGTGAGCAAAACAATAACAAAGCTTCTGGGCGACGACTTTCGGAACCTGTACGACAATCGTATGAACGTCTCTTACCATCGCCATCAGCATTAACGAGTTCTTTCAAAAATGTGGGCTTAAATAACACGAAAAAACCAAACACACCAAACAGTATTGCCTTAGAAGAGGTCTGCAAAGAAACTACAGAAACTTCTTTGGATCACCATCCCAATGAAAAAGTCAACCTTGATGAGGTAGAGGAGGATGAACTTATTGAAAATAAACTTGTATTACCCGATGAAATGTTGCAATACCTAAATCAAGTAGCAGACAAGACAAGTAATAACATCAACAACAACTCAGGCAAAGAGTCTGCACAAGTTATTTGTCATCCGCCCATGTCTTCGCCTAATATTTATCCCAACAGCCCAGAGAGTCCATCAACAATTACTCAGGTTATGTCGCCCCAATCTGGCCATACCATGTCTGCCTTAGGAAGTCCCTATTCTCAGCGAAATTACGATCAGCGCTCTCAAGTAGATACTCAACGTCGCCAATATCCCGTTTATTACGATTACTGTCATGAACATGCTGAAAACGCAAATGGCCAAGGTATAAAGACTAATAATTATTTCTGTTCTCAACAGCCAACAACAAAACCAATTCAGGAAGTGAACTCAACATTTACTCAAAATATCACAGCTCCCGCTGATAGTTCAATGACCAGTTTACCAGACATTTCTAGTAATACAATAAAATCCAACTATTTCGGCAATGCTTCGACTCAAACTCAGCCAACATCCCACACAAAACCTGCGCCACCCAGAAACACAACGGTGCATAACGAAATACAATGTCAAGATATCACCCAATCCCAAATGTCACCAGCGACAGTCAAACCATCTTCAGGGTCATGTAACCATAACATGGATATCAGTTATTCACAAAATCAATTGCCATTTAACCAGTACATGCCACCAGCAGCAGCATGCTACAATAACAATAACAGCGCCAAAAACAATAATACAACGACAAGCAGCAGTAATATGTGCACCGATGCCTATCAACGCACCTTGGAATACGTACAAAACTGTCAAAGTTGGTTACAAACTAAGAAAAATCCAAATCAAAATTCTCCAAGTGGTGAATTTGTCATGCCTTCAGTGCCAAATACCAATCGCCTACAACCAGTCCATCCACAACACCAACAAGATGTTACAAGTTCTACCCATCCATCTCCAAACATGGTCATTAATGATATGACCACATCACTTAGCTCTCTACTTGAAGAAAATCGTTATTTACAAATGATTCAGTAGTCCAGTACAACATCTTCCCCCATTTAGGTATACTTGCACCATTCATATTTATACACTTAATAAGTTTGGAATAGCGTAACTGAGAATAAAGTTACGCTATTTCAAAAAATCTTTAATCTCTGAATGCTGTTACGGAAAGATAAAAAGTAATAGCGAAAAGTCTATCAGCTTAGGTAACAAAATCATTGCCATTTAATAAATAATTACTATAGTTTTCCTGTTGCCCATACTTGGGACCATGTCTTTTGTAAGTACAAAGTTGTATAACATACATTGAGAGTGGAAAATAGTACATACATTTTTTAAGGTTTATTTTAGTACAAAGTTTTCCAATAATTTTTTATCATTTAGTTTTATTATTATTATTATTTTGTAAGCAATTTATTTATAAAAGAAACAAAACTTTATAATTTAAAAATTTGTATATTGTCACCGAAAAAAGTCGCAGTTGCCTTTTACTTTATTCTCTTGTTCTGGTGGCAATTTAAATTTAAAAGCACTGTCACTTACATAGTTATACATACATCTATTTTACGTACAAAGATCTACACCAGAGAATGCTGACTCATAAAATTTAGCGAATTAAAAAAAAATAACATAAATAAACATGAATTCAAGTGAAGAAAATTCACATATTCGAATCTGGAAATTATTTCTTAACTTTAGAATTCCACAGATTTTTTGCATTTATATATTTTTGACGTAATTTCCCAATTGAAAAACATACTTAATAAATATTGACTTTAATTTCTACACATGTAATCTTGTACATTTGTAGATATAATTACATATTTCAATTACATTGAAAGTCAAAAAATGCATATGGGCAATTCCACTAAAAAAACCATGATTGACAAAATAAACACCCTTTAAATTTTTGCTTTTTTATGACAATTCAACAAAATTCAACGTATGATCTTTTGGTTGCAGCAAAGACGAAGGCTGTTAAAATCAGTCCATTATTAAACCTAGCCGCCACACAACCGGACCCGCAAATATCACAAATTATAATACTATTTCATCAAAAATCCATAAAAATATAATCATAAATAATACTGCCGATTTTCAAATTGATCGGACCTCATTTGGTCCCATACAAAGTTTAATATCAGAAAAAAACATTTAAACGTCCATAACTAACTTATAAGCACTAGTATTATGATAAAATTTTATATAAATAAATTGAGATATAAAGAATGAGATATATTTTTTCCGTATATAGTAATCTCTGAATGAAATAAAATGACAAAATTAGTTTATTTTTAATCCTATTTTTGCAAAACTTATACCATTCTGAATGCGTACAATGGCACATACAATGGCATGACTTCTGTACGTTAAATAATATATTTTATTCATTATTATATTTAGATACTTAAACATTAAAATATATACAAATATAATTTCAAAGATAAATTAAACGACTTTCTGTAAAAGGTTTTATATTGTGATGAAATTTTAAATATATTTCTCATATTTATAGAGATAATTGAGGAAAGAACTGAAATAAATTAAAGAACTCAAATTTTTTATGAAAAAGATTTTAAAATATACATTTTTCTTAAAGTATGTATATACAGGTGCGTTTAATATGCCTTCATTTCTGTTATTAGAATTATTTATTTTTTAGTATGTATTATTTTAATATAACTGTTTAGCATTTACTTAACGACTTACTATATACAAATTGTTAGATTATATGATCGTTTTACATGTATATGATGATCAAATAAAAATTCAACCCACCCAAACCTCGTTCAACAAGGTTCTCAGAGGTACAAATATTTACTTTTACTGCGTATAAAATTATATTCAAATGCTACTGTTAAGATATATATTTTAAATATTTTTTTATGAACGTGCTTCCATAAGTAATTATATAATATTGCTAATGTTAAGTATTTTTCATCATACTACCATTTAAATTCATATACTCCAACGTAATTATTATTTTTAATTTTTTTACATTATATTTTTAGTGATTCCATAAATAAAATTTTTATTATTTTCGTAACATTGTATTTAATAAATGTCTTCCAATATAATAAAAATACATGCAAAATTTTAAATATTAATTGAGTTATTTTTATGCCCTCCACCACCATCAGTGGTGATAGAGGGTATATATTAGTTTGTCATTCCGTGTGTATCACCAAGAAATATTCATCTGACACCCAACAAAGTATTCCGGCTCCTTATCAAATTCTGAGTCGAATTAGCTATGTCCGTCCGTCTGTCTGTGTAAAACACGCTCACGTAAAAACGATGCTAAATAAATGAATGAAATTCGGCCAAAAGATTCACTATTGTCCTAGGCAGTTTGGTTTTGAAAATGAGTAAAATCGGTTTACACCGGAAAGAGTTATGAATCAAAATTTAAAAAAAACTCCGAAAAAATTTAGCTTTTTTAACACATTCTAATACAATTTTCACAAAAACTATGCGATATAATTTCATAAAAATCACCACACAATTGTTTCATATACCTCCCATATAGGCTTGCCAGATTTGAAATCAACAAAAAACGTACATGGTAGTTAAAAAAGCAATACAATGGAATAAAAAAGTACAATTGTTTATTAAAAAAAAAAATAAATTAAATTGTTCTAAACACGCTATATTGACATTGGTTGCTATGATTTTTCACAAAAAACTTATATAAAACTAATTTATGAAAATAAAATGAATCCACTTACAAATACTTTTTCAATATTAGTGTGCTATTAATTTATATATTTTCTTTAAAAAATGTAAAATTCCCTAAATTTGTGTTTCGTTTGGTTTGTTTACATTTTCAAATATAAACCATCTGTTGTGAACATATGTTTGATATATTTTCATGGAGAAAAAATATCCAGTAAAATAAAAACAGTCGCTATCTCTAACTGTTACAAAAGCGTTACAACTTTTACTCTGTTATTCAAATTTGTCTTTCTTCAAACATCCTCAGATACTTCATTTTCCAAAAATTAGCCACTCTGCTACGAAAAATAAGACTGGCAGTATAGTTCTTTAAAAATCGTTCCACAGCGGGACTGGATAAAGCTATCGAATAGCTACCTACACAACGGAGCATTATGGACCATTTTAACATTCAAACATGTCCTTCACATTTGCAGTCTTTTTTTATGCCGAAAATTCATTAAAAACTTTCATTACAGTGATATCTTAATCAAAATTTAATAACTTTAAAGCATTTTGAATAAACGCACTATTTTATGCATGACAAATGCATCGAAACCTCTTATAGTCGAATTTGCCTTTTTGAGTTTAGTAAATCCACTTTCAAACTATCTTTGTGGTCATTAAATAGCGATTCTATAGAATATTTGTCTGTGGTCATGATTACATATGTTTATAAAATTATGGTAAAATTAAAAAAAAAACAAGATAGAGTGCTATATTCGGCAGTGCCGAATCTTAAATACCCTCCACCAGCAAGCTATTTTTAATAAAAACCCATATAACTATCTAATTTTTAGATAACTTGGCAAAATTGTTGTTTCCGTATTGATATGCATATGTCAATCTAATTTTAATTAAGTCCACAAAAATTTATATTAATAGGCCAGTTCGAAAACATTTTAATATAATGACATATCTATACACAGAAAATATTCATGTCGAATTTTATCCGGATATAATCATTTAATAACAATTTAAGTGGTATTGAGTGATTTTCAGAAGTAAACCTTGTATGGGAGCTAAGACAACTTATGGACCGATCCGGAAAAAATTCCGTAGAATGATTTATAAGCTCACAAAACATATTCAGGTCGTACTTTATCCCGATAGCTTTATTATTCAAAGAAATATATACGTTTAAGTGATTTTCGTAAATGGACCTTATATGGGAGCCTATCCGGAAAAAATTTCGTTAAGTGATTCATATAAAGACAAAACATATTTGTGTCGAATTTTATCATGATAACTTTATTTGACAATGAAATGTGTGCATTTAAGTGATTTTCGGAAATGGGCCTTATATGGGATCTATGACCAATAATTTACCGATCCTGGAAAAAAGTGGTAGAATGATTTATATGTACACAAAACATATTCAAGTCGAATTTTTTCCTTATCGCTTTAATTTTATGAAATATATGCGGTTAAGTGATTTTCGGAAGTGGACCTTATATGGGAGATATGACCAATTATATGCCTATCCATAATTGTAAAGATTTCGAACATAATAAATCACTGCCTTGAAAAAATAATGTTTGACAAAATTCATCGCAATATCTTTGGTAGTTTCTGAGAAAACTTCAAAAGAATTAGGACAAAAAAAAAAATATATTTTTCGAGGTAGTCTGAAATTTTTACTCATGACTTTTTACGTTGTGAACCGATTTTGCTGATTTTCAATACAAAACTGCTTAGGATAATAATAAATACTTTGGGTGAATTTGGTTGATTTCCTTTGCTTGGTTTTAACGTGAGCGTGTTTTAGGCAGACAGACAGAAAGACGGACAGACGGACATAGCTAAATCGACTCAGAATTTCACAAGGACCCAGAATATATATATACTTTGTTGTCTTAAATGAATATTTCTTGGTGTTACACACGGAACGACAAACTTATATATACCATCTATCACCACTGATGGTGGTGGAGGGCATAACAAGTGAGAGTTCTATATTCGGCTGTGCCGAATCTTATATACCCTTCACCTTGATGTGTTAAAAAACAGTCAGTACGAATTTTATCAAAAAATACCAATTGTATCCCATTTTATACGTTCTAACTTAATCCGGGCTCTACATGCTTAATTTCATATTTCTAGGTTCAATATTACAGAAAATTCAAAAAGTACCTTTTGCAGAACAAAAAAGTACCAAAAAGTCCCTTATTGTTAGTTCTTACCTAGTCAAGGCCCAATATGCTAAATTTCATGTTTCTAGGCTCAATATTATAGAAAATTCAAAAAGTACCTTTTGTAGAACGAAAAAGTACCAAAAAGTCCCCTTTTATAGGTTCTTACATAGTCAAGACCTTTTACGTACCTAATCCGGGCTCTACATATTTAATTTCATGTTTCTAGGTTCAATATTATAAAAAATTCAAAAAGTACCTTTTGTGGAACGAAAAAGTACCAAAAAGTCCCTTTTTATGTGTTTTGGTCTAATCCGGGCTCTACATACTTAATTTCATGTTTCTAATATTATAGAAAATTCAAAAAGTACCTTTTGTAGAACGAAAAAGTACCAAAAAGTCCCCTTTTACGTGTTCTGGCCTAATCCGGGCTCTACATATTTAATATCATGTTTCTAGTTTCAATATTATAGAAAATTCAAAATGAACCTTTTGTAAAACGAAAAAGTACCAAAAATGCCTTTTTATAGGTTCTTACCTTGTCAAGGTCCTACATGCTAAATTTCATGTTTCTAGGTTCAATATTATAGAAAATTCAAAAAGTACCTTTTGTAGAACGAAAAAGTACCAAAAAGTGCCCTTTAATGTGTTCTCGCCTAATCCAGGCTCTACATACTTAATTTCATGTTTCTACATTACATGATGTTCATTCTTTGCTCTGTGTTTATAAACAAGAATTACAATAACAAATAACAAAAAAAATTACCGTTTGATACTGCGTTTTGTTTGTGTTTGTTTATTGTTTTGTATAAGTATGGACGAAAAAAGTAAATTTTTGATGAAATTTTCAGAGGTGGTCTCGGATTTTTGCTCATATCTTCGTTATTTATGGGCCGATTGGGATGATTTTAAATAGCGTTCTATTCGATCGTGTTTCCGATAGAATTATTGAAAATTCGGATCTCATAGGATCTCATAAGGATCCAGAATATACATATATACTTTATAGGGTCGGAAAATTATATTAGCAGGATTTTTTAAACTATTGGTAAATTGGTAAAAAATATTTGCCATCAATTGGAGAATAGCAAAATAAAAGAAATTAATTTATTTTAAAATTATTTTGGTTTTGTTCTATAAATACAAAGCATTGCCATATTGAAATTAGCAAAATCCAACTATTTTTTTGGATTTAATAAATCCAAATAAGATTTACTTCTTTTAGCTGCAAAACCTCAATTTTTACACTAAATTAATTTTTCTTGACCTTAATATTAGACTTATATAGTGTATTTTCCTATATACAAAAATACATATATATAGTATAATAATATATATATATATATATATAATATAATTATAATATATATATAATATATATATATATATATATCTTATATATATAGATATAGATTCTCTCTCTATATATATTAAAATATATATCTCTATCTATCTATACATGATTCTCTATCTATATCTATTAGATATTCCATCTTCTCTCTCTCTCTAGATCTTCTTTCTTCCTCTCATCACTACTATTATAGCTATAATATCCTCCTTATCTCTCTCCTAATATGTCTTCTCTATCTATATCTCTATCTCTCTCTCTCTATTATCTCCTCTCTCTCTATCTATCTCTATCTATCTATCTTGTCTCTTATCTATACTTCTATGTCTCTATATACTTCTCTCCCGTAGTTTTCGTTTATTGTCATCACTGTTATAGTTCACATTAGGATGAAATTGCTCAATTTTATTACATTTAAATGTCTCTGTCGATCAATTACATAGTCCTTATATAGTCAATTTTTACTTTCTTATTACTTTATAGTCAATTTTTTGATATAAGCACTTTTCACATATATGCCATCTATCCGTGGCTATTAAAAGTCATGTTATATGAAAAAACTTCACGATATTGTCACATACGAATTTTTTTAAAATTATCGTGAATTAAATTAAAAAGTTTTTGTTGAAGAAAAACAATTTACGATTAAAGAAATTTTACATGCAGTAGATATTTTGCGACATTTTTGCTTAGAGCAAGATATAATTAAAATTTTTTGTTTGAAAAAAAAAGAAGATAAAACTGTAACCAACATCCTCAACCTAAAAGAGACTAAAATTGATGATTTTTTTTAAATAATATAAACAATATTTCTTTAATGTAATGAATTTATGAAAATAATTTTTATTTCTTTAATAAACATGAATTTTTATA